ACCATCTGAATCAGAAATTTCTTTCCTGCCTAAATTTTTAGCTGTTTTGCTATTGACATTCTTGGTCAGTTTTTTCCTCTGAGTCTCAGGTGAAGGTTTAGGAGCAGCAGGAGCTTGTAGTACCTAATCAGCCAATAAAAGGCATCATAAATTTGTGCCTTTTAATTATAACTTTAAAGATAGATTAAAATATTAACACTCACTTCATCTAATTCTTCATTAATGAATTTCTTGTAGGGGTCAAGAGAATACTTCTCTAACTTAAGATCTTGCTCCAGAAGTCGACGAAGCAAACCCATTGTAATTTTCCTGGAACAGAGCAAGCGATATCAAATCAAGAGAAGTTCATTTGCCAGAGTCAATGAAGATAGAAAACTAACAACATAAATCCTAACCATATCGAAAACATTTCCTCCTATTGGTTAAATAATGGCATCCGAGCAAAGACATTAGAAAAGAAGACATGTTCAACTTACTCTGAATTAGCCTTAATATACGAAGACTTTTTCCTAAGGGCTTTCTTTATTTCACTCTGCAGGACTTGTTTGCTGTCCTCAGCCCTTGTTTGCTCCACGACAACAGATTTGGATGTGTTTTCTTCTTTCAGAAGTCCCATCACAGGAGAATCTTCCATTTTCTCATCATCACCATTTGTATCTTCCTTGACATGTTTTTTCGCCTTGTCCTCTTTAGATAACTTTGCTGCTCCTTTCGATGGAGTTGCATAATCTTTCTTCTCAGTTTCTTGAGAATGTTCTGAAGTGTCATCATTGTCAGAACCTTCTAAGCACTGTTATCACCAAGAAAAACTTATGTGACCTCAAATAGTTTCAGGTGCGAGTTAACATTTCATGAAAAACAAACTGGGCATGAACCATAGCAACATATACCTGAACCAAATGTTGTTTAACAAAGCTCTTATGCACATCCAAAGCATATTTCTCCAATCCTAGATCCTTCTCCAGCAACCTCCGCACACTCGCAAATGTAAAGGAGCTGCAAAATCAAAGTTTTGCACAAGAAATGATTCTGCTTTCCAGAGATTTTCCGACCTAGATTTTCAATTCTTTGCTACAACCAGGTTTCAGTAAGAGGGAGTGAAATCGAAGCGAACCCATGAATTCATACAGTCAAGCCTCGAGATCATAATACTCAAAATCACCATAGAAAATTTATAAGATAAGATTAGAGGAAGAAGAAGCAACAATACTTAACTCTGCTTTTTCTCTGAGGTAGGTCACACGAGACCGCATCGCCGCCAGAATCTGGGACTCGATACCTGCTTCCTTTGAATCAATCTTGTCGGAGATCTCCATGGCCGTGGGCTTCGACTCGTCAGACATGTCTCAGTCAGTAGTGACGGAGAAGAACCTAGTCAAGTCCACTGGGATATCGGTGATGTAGAAGACAAAAAATAAGCACATTGTAGAACACAACAGTCAAAATTGTGTTTCCGTAGTAGTCAAAGGGCTTATTTGCAATTTAAGCAGAGTTGTTTTTTTTTTAAGAATCAGTATTCATATCTGGGCGTTTTTGTAAATCGGTTTATCTCGGTTCGGTTCGGTTCGGAGCGAAAACCAGGAGTAATGATAACCCTGTTTCCAAACGGGGGTTTTCTATTTGGTTCTCCTCGACAACACTCTAATGGCAAAAACGAAAGTTTAATTCCAGATTCTTCTCTCCAATGGCGAAATTGACGACGGAGTCTCCAATCTGCCGTAAAATTGTCCATGCTTTTTTGGATTTTCTAGATTCCGGTAAGCAAGCTTACTTCTCTAGATACATGTACGAATCCGTAGACAATGAATGAATTAGCAGTTCGTCTGACGGATCGATTTCGTCTCAGAATGATTCTTGAAAAGATGTTATCATGGTTTGATTAGAGATTTTTATCAGGGATTTCGTGATACTAGGGCTTATTTTCGTCGGTATTACTCTTGTAGTTGAGGTTGCTCCAGGTGCTGATGAGGAAGGGATTGAGGTTGCTAAAGAATGTTTAGCGGAAGCGTTTAAAGTTAATTCAGATTCTTCAAGAGAGTATCAGTCGAAACCTATTTCGCTTGTTAATATGTTCAGTTCAATGGACAAAAGTATTCATGCGGAATTGGAAACCAAACCATTCGGTGCTACTCGGGGTATTACTATAGATGAACCTAGTTCCTCGTCAACTCCTGTGTTTCCGGATTCTCATCACTCCGAGCCATTACCATCCTCAGTGGATGCAAGCAAAGAGCCTCTCTTTACCGGTAAGTATTGCTTTGGTCATGGTTCATTTTCATTGGACCAATGCGAGTGCCGGTTACTGTAGCGGAATAAAGTTTATGGCTGCCAACAATGTCAATAGGTGGTTTAGAGGTTCGCAAATTCTGTATGGACTCTTGTTGCTGAACTTATATTTCTTATTTAATTTCCCCTTGCAGGAACTTCTAGGGATGAACTCTTTGGTCAACTCTTTGGTGCGCTTGAGAAAGTACGATATTTCAGGAACACACCTAACGGAGATGATGATCCTGCTCAGCTGGAAAAGGCAACAAAAATATTTCATGATGCTATCAATGTAGGCTTCATTTCAATGTTGGCTTCATTGATGTTTTCTTCTATTGGTAATGAGTTTGGTAATAAGTTTCTTATCTGTATATCAGGAAATGGAAAAATCTGGATGCCAGACTTTTGATGTGAAAAACTTGGCAGAAACACTGAAGTGCCAAGGTACTTGCGATGTTTTATGTTCGCAACAGAGATTGCATGTGTTATCTTGTTAACATATAATACCATTGGCATACTGTGATGCTTTTCTAATGTTGTCTCGAGTTAACAATGTGTAGTCCATTCTGTCAAAATCACTGGAACCTTTTCCTTATTCTTTGGTTGTTCTCTCAAGTGTATGTTAGAATGAGATTGATGAAGGTCTTTTGGTACTTGCACAACTATGTGACATTCTCTGCCTTTTAGGTAACAAGGCCATGCAGTCTCAGCTTTATCAGGAGGCAATCGAGCTGTATTCTTTTGCAATTGCACTCTGGGATAAGAACGCTGTTTTCTACTGCAACAGGTGAGTGACAAGTCTTCAACTTTATGTATCTGGAAACTTAAGGTTTTAGCTCTTTGGCAGTGTGCTTCCTGTATAATATGATGTTGACATGGTTAGGTTTTTTCATTTGTNCAATGATCTACTTAGTTTTCTAAAAATCATTTATCAGGGCTGCTGCGTATACCCAGATCAACAGATGTTCAGAAGCAATTAAGGACTGTCTTACATCCATTGAGATTGATGGAAATTATAGTAAGGCATACAGTCGTCTCGGGTTAGCATATTATGCTCAAGGAAAGTATGCCGATGCTATCGAGAAAGGATTTAAGAAAGGTATGTATCTGTTCTTAGAATTAATCTGAACTTCTTTATCAAAGGGTCGACTGCTTTAGAAAAGGGCTAGAACTTTGCTTCTCCAAGTTAGCTAACACATAATCTATGTATCTTTTTCCTCACATTCATGGCAGCTTTGCAGTTGGATCCGCAAAACGAATCTGTGAAAGAAAATATCAGGGTCGGTTTCTTTTTGTTTTAATACATTTCTCTGTTTTATATTCTGTAACTTACATGATAGCCTAATATTGACATTTTGCGAAACACAGGTGGCTGAGCAAAAACTAAGAGAAGAACAGCAACGTCAGAGACGCAGTCAGGTAGCTACACCTTTGAATCATCCCATATATTACAAATAACAAGACAATAAACCAAAGGAACTAATGTTTTGTGGTGTTGGAAGAGCAGAATCCGAGCATGGGTCACAATCAAGAACCAGAAATGGGAGGCGAGGGAATACCATCTCAGTTCTCAATGCCTTTAAACCCCGAATTGATGAGCATGTTCATGAACATGGCAGGAAACACATTCCCGGGAAATCATTCTCGCAGTAGTGAGGGAGGAGGAGATGGTAACAGAAATGGTTCGGATGAGCCTGAGATTCATGTTGGCGGAAATATCAACATAGATCTCGGAGTTGGGGAGCAAATGCCCGAAGAGATATCAGGTGCATTACGATCAATGATGCAGATGTTTGGAGGATCACAGGAAGGCACTGGTAATAATAGTAATCCTCAAGGTACTAATGGTGCACATGGAAGACCATCTGGAAATCAACCATAGCATCATGTGTGATTCTCTATTAATATGATTTCTGAGTTTGTGCTCCAAAGACTTTTTTTAGGTCAGAATGATGCAAGTGAAGTGATGTTATTACAAAATGATGTTGGGAGAAAAAATACGATCAGTTGCTATATTGCCCTAAATTAAAAGAACAATTCTAACTACCCCTCTTGATTCTAACGACTTTCCCAATCTTTTTCTCTTTACTTTACTCCTCTCGAGTCCTCCGCCCTTTATTACCCTAATTAAATAAATCTAACAACCAATTAATAAATACTCTCTACACAACCAATCAAATCTATTAAAACTAAAAACAATTGGTTTTTCTTTATCTTCTTCATCTCTTTCGCCTCTTCCGCAGAAAAAAAAAAAAAAAAGAGAGCAAGCTTTTGTTA